TGCTCTGTGGGATCAAGGGAGCCGGGGGGTCTGTGGCCCCAGCTCTGGGGAAGGGGCCAGCGCAGGTCAGCCCTGGGGAGACTCCTGGCCYGCACCTGCCTTCATGTGTCAGGAGGTGTCCCCGCTGCAGGACGGCGGTGAGCACGCCCTGATCTCCTCCCTGGTGACCCCACTGCCTTCAGAGACCAGGGCTCCGTGGGAAGGCCCCCAGGCCTCCAGCTGTGCAGCCAGGGCCCATCAGCAGATGGCGGCGAAGGAGCCGTCAGGGTGGGCGCCAGGCCCAGGGAAAGAAGGGTTCGTAATTGGGTGGCCTAACCACCTGTGTAGACTGTGTATTTCTTATGATCGATGTGCTAAATGGCTCAGGTTTAATTAAGTTCTGCTGCCTTGTTCCCTTTGAAGGCCCACTGAAGTGTGATCACAACCCCCACAATTAATAACGGGAGAGAAAAAACATGAAAGGCGTGGCAGGTCCCCACCGCCATCATYCCCTTTCCCTGCCCCCGGGGCCTTGGGCCATTGGCAGGGAGATGCTGAGCCTGGACGCGGGACCTTCTCGATCTTCATCCAGTGTTCCTTCAGGACCTTGCCTGTGGCCGAGAGTCCTGTCCCCAGGAGGCAGCTCGTGTTTCCAGGGTCTGGTCTAATGAGGTCCCTCTGGTTCCAAAGGTCCCCGTGCAGAACCGTCTTCTCTGCTCCCTGCCCCCACTGTGCTTTCTGCCTTCTCTCACCTGCTTCTCTCTCTTGTGACCCCTGTGGTCTGTAAGATGAGGGTCAGCCTTCCTGGTCACCTCCTGCAGTGTGGTGGGAAATCTAAGCGGCTGATCTTCATCCTTCCTGAGCCGTCCCCTTGGACACTGCTCTTCCCCCTCCCAACCTGCCCTGTGGACCATGTTCAGGTTGACTCTGCTCTGAGTCACCATCCAGAGCTCCTGGACACCATCCCCACCCCCACTGACATCCTCCTCCCTGGGCACAGGCACAGAGATGAGCTGGTCACCCCTCCCTGGCCTTCCCTATAATCCGTTTCCCCAAGGCCATCAAAGTTGGCACTGTGCCCACTGAATAATCTCTTTCCTAGATAATTGTGGCAATAAGAGGATATTGTAACGGAAGGACAGACTTGAAGTTCAACCCAGAATATGACTTTTTCTAGAATCTAATGGGAACTCCAGTAAGGCAGAGCTGTCCAACAGAACATTCTGAGATGACGGAAATGGTGCATATCCAATATGGTAGCCACCAGTCATGTGTGGCTGACAAGCTGTGGCGAGTGGAACMGAGAACCTGGATTAGATCTGATTTAAATAGCCACTAACAGCCGCCACGGACTCTAAGGAGTCCAATCTTTCCCAAGGTCTGGCCTCAGATCCTAACCTCATTTCCCTGACCCAGGTTCAAGTCTATCTGTCTCTTGGCCTTCTTGATTGGCCTTCTCTCCAATCAGCGGTTGGGGTGCTCCACCCACTGGGTGTGATCCCAGCCCTGGAGTCTGCCCCCACGCATGCTCCTCTTTATGCTTCTCTGGCTTGGGGGTGTTCAATCTGGAATAACACCCCAGGTGAGGGCAATCAGTATCCACTCTTGATACCCCAGGAACCTATGGCCAGTCTGGGGGGAAGGGCTTCAGCACTCTGAGTCCAAATTGGGGCTCAGCCTCCACCTCCCCTTCAGTGAGGCCGTYACTACCACGTTAGACACGTACCATCATCAACTCTCAAAGACAAACACTTCTCCTAAGGAGGTGGATTTCCAAAGCCAATCAGATGCCATATTGAACAGTCCTGTGACCTGGCAGAGCCTTCCTCCAAGCCATCAGCCACCAGGTCATTAGGCAGAGTGGGGTTTGTGTCCTTGCCCTCTCCATCCCACCTCCCCAGGATGATCTTCTAGCCCTGCTGGGGGTGGGGGAAGCCACACGCAGCTTMACAGCTGCTCCCCCAGGAACGCGAATGGAAGCTTCGAAGTAATTATTGTATTGAGGAATCTCCTCTTAGTCACAAACTCCAGTTTGCCCAAGTTTCCTTCTGGGAAGACGGGGGTACTAGCTCTGCTTTGTTATAATCTACCTCCAATTTCACACCCTCTGTCCTCCATGTTGTCTTATTGCCTGTATTCTGGTCCTGCACCCCACTTTGACACACAGCATCTCCCCCCACATCCTGATATTTCCAGGGGGATCTCAACACCATGCCCCACAGCCTGGGATTGCCCCTCTGTGAATGTTTTTCAACTTCCTATAGAACTGCACTCTGTTGTTGATGAGCATCTAAAATGCTGAAGGGTGGGTAGATGGGTGGGTAAATGGGTGGGTGGATGAGTGGATGAGTGAGTGGATGGATGGATGGGTGGGTGGATGGGTGGATGGGTGGGTAGATGGGTAGATGGGTGGTTGGGTGGATGAGTGAATGGATGAGTGGATTGATGGATGGATGGATGGATGGATGGATGGATGGATGGATGGATAGGTGGGTGGGTAGATGGGTGAATGGATGAGTGGATGGATGGATGGATGGATGGGAGGAGCCCAGCCTGTTCACGCTGCACCCCTGCAGACAGGCCCTCAGTGCCTCTTCTTGGTACTCAGAAGACCCACTAAGCTCCTGCAGGGGTTAACAGCTGCCCTTTGTCTCTACATCACTCCTGATTGGCCTCAGCCCTATTCCTTAAGCACACCATCAGCTCTAAACATAGAATACATACATATATAATATTTTAAAATTAAATTTTAAAAGCAGGTGGAGTTGGGGAGGGGAAAGGAGAGRAAAGGAAGGAGCGGCAGAGATCAGACTCCTACCAAAGGTGGCTGAAAGCCCATCGCTTACTCTGACGGAAAATAATGTTTAAAACCTCACTGTCGTTCACTCTCAAGGATCTTCCAAGAGTCAGAAAAAGTGATTAAAAATATGTTAAGGAGGTAAAAACTGAATTACAGCCAAGCAGGGGAGGTGGGGGAGTGAGACCGAGAACCCACCATGAGGCCCCACTTCCACCGCAGAGGTCACTGCCTGGTTGGTTCTGGAGAGGAAGGCCCCCGCTGGCCCTCTTCCTCGCCACCCTGAAGGTCTTCAGAGTCATCCGCCTGGAGAGAAGGAGGACCCTGGGAGGTCGGGGTGGACTGGCCTTTGCCACTGGATCCTTCAACTCCTCTCCCCAACCCCAGTCTGCAGATGGGGAGAGTGGGTCCCAGAGAGCAAATAAAACGAGGTCCAGGTGGCAGATCGGAGTGAGCACGATCAGAACTCACGTCCTTCCTAGCAACCAAAGAAAAAAAATGCTAGTTGATCTTTTCAGTTAAGTCAGCCCCATTTTGTGGCCTGTGCTCCAGTTCATGGCTGGAGGTAGTTCTACCCCTTTCTTAAGGGAAGAAGAAAGTGGGCCGGTGGGAGGCAGGGACCTCAGCTGGAGCTCTGACCCCCACCCGCTGTCTGACTGAGACATCTGACCTGTAGGCAACTTCAGACCAACATGTCAACCGTCTTCAGAACCTGAGTTTCACATTTATCCGTGCAGAGCAAACATTCCCCAAGCTCCGTGTGATGCTGGTGTCCCGCTAGTCTGATGCCTCCCTGCCACGGGAGCCCCTGTCCCGAGAGAGATGCCAGCAGGCAGGTGTGAGCTTGTCACCAAGGAGCGTGTCCTCTGGGCTGAGTGTGGGTGGCCTGGGGCAGGGGGACCTAGGTTCTCCTTCACCTGGAGCAGCTTTTCCTCACAGGAATGAGGTCGGAATCAGGAGAGGCCAGGAGATCATCTAGAATGGTAGACGCCCCCGGCCCCACCTCCCCCGGGGCCGGCAAGGTTGGGAATTGAGGTGACCATAAGGACGAACTCAGGTATCGAAGAATCTGTAGAATTGGATCATAAACAAGTGAGAATAGGTGACCCCAGGCCCATGGGACTGTCAGAGAAAACCCCAAAGACACAGGCACGCGGTGGTGTCCCCGCTCCAACAAGGCAAGGTGTGGGGTTGGCAGAGGGATGGAGGTGGGGTGGCTGCATGGGGGTGTGACCAGTGCAGCCACACGGTCCCTGTGCCCAGGGGGAGGCCCCAGAAGTGGGGTTGATTGCTGTGTCCACCCTCTTGGAATCCTGAATAGTTTTCTGTCAGTGAGTCCAGTGGGTCATGGCAGCGTGTGCCAGGGGCTTGGAACTTGGCACCTCGACTCTGGGTCAGTATCCTCTGGCCACCTCCTGCTGCCTGAGGATGGGCTCTCGGCCGACGGTCCCTTGCCCCACCCATCATGCTGCCCTCCCCGCCTTGGGAAGGGGCTGGCACGGTCTCCAGGAAGGTCACGGTCAGCTGCAGCGTGGCAGGGTCCAGCCAACTTTCCTCAAGGGGCATCCATGTCCTCAAGCCCCAGGGCCCCTCTGAGGGTCTGCACTTACCCCAAGAAAACACGTGCTCAGTCAGGGGGACAGACCTCACCCCACGGCAGGTCAGAGAAGGAGAAGAGCTCTCTCTGCTTTGGGAACAAAAKGGGTCCCACATTCTCACGTCGTGCTGGGCACTGGCGGGGCCCACCGCTGCCGAGTGGGGCCTTCGCTGTGTGGACCAGAGTTGGCACGCTCCTCTGTCACAGGCCAGATGGTGACTATCTTAGTCTCTGTGGCCATGTGGCCCCTGTCGTGATGACAGTGCACACATCAGGGGCTGGAGCTGTGCTCAATAAGACTTTATTTAAAAACAGACAGTGGGCCAGAGGCGGCCTGCGGACCACAGTGTGCTGTCCCCCGCTGCAGACGAGGGGAGTCACTGAGGGTATCTGAGCGGCACAAAGGCACTGTTCTAGAGACTGTTCTAGAAGGTGAACTTGGCTTCCCCGTCCAGTGTGGATGAGATGGGGGTCAGACTAGGCAAACGTTTAAAACACCAGGGGGGCTAGGGGAGAGAGCAGGGGCCCAGACTCGCAGCCGGGGTTGGAAGGGCAGATGGAGGCCGCGCAAGCCTCCCCGCGGTGCTGTCCCAGGGCTCCTGACACAGCTGACCCTCTCTCCTGCAGAGGAGAGGAAGAGCAGGCGCAGGGTCCGCACCACCTTCACCACGGAGCAGCTGCGGGAGCTGGAGAAGACCTTCCAGCTCACCCACTACCCCGACGTCCACGTCCGCAGCCAGCTGGCCACCAGGATCAACCTGCCAGAAGCTCGGGTGCAGGTACGGCACCTCCAGCCCCAGCCCTGGCAGGGACCGCCGTGACCTGCTGCGTCCTGAGCCCCTGGGGTGCCCCTTCTGGAATTTTCCATTGGCTTCATCTCATTGGCCAAATACTATTTTCCAAGCGCTGAAACCACCATCTGATGAGAAATAAGCCATCGTTATAAGACGGTTTCTCTCCTTTTGTGGGGAGCAGATGGAGGGAGGCAGCATCCSGGCCTCTGCTGGTCTCGGCCTCTTCCTCCCCGCGTGCTTACGCTCCAGGGGTCGGTCACCCCCGCAGCCTCGTTCAGAAACCAGGTTTTGACAGTCCAGGCCAGGGGGTGGACAAACTTCTGTGAAGGCCAGATAGTGACGACTTTAGTCGCTGCGGGACACACACACCTTGTGGGGTCCGTGGCGAGAGCCTGGTTAAGCACCGACAGTCTCATCTGCCCTCTGTCATCTCTTCCCCCAGAGTGTCTGGTACTTCATCCCCGGTGACAAACACAGCCACTCCCTGTCACCAGCGGGTACCTTCCACCCTTTCTCAACTGCAAACACCAGGCCCCCACACAARGTTCCGCCGGATTCAAGGGTACCCCGTGGGCACTCTCTCTAAAACAGTCTCCCACGTCATTCTTCATTTTCAAAAACCAACGCAAGGCACAGGTCCTGATTSGAACTCCCAACCCGGCCCAGGCCAACTCTCCACTCTATTCCATTCCAACTCCTCTCCCCCTGGCTGAGGCCCACCCTGCCTTACCCTTCTCCTCTTTCCCCACCCGAATCTGCCCTGAAGCCTAGAATTCAACTCCCGCCTCAGAGCAACCATCAAGTTCACATGGTCACACTTCAGGACCACCGAATGGGTTTCATTGGGCCTGCACAGTATCTTAACACTTAGAAGCTTTCACATAAAGATCAACATTTTCCCCCTAGAAACTGRTTGTGTCAAAAATACGGAGCTTAGGTTTCCAGGTGTTGACTGAGGCAGGAGCTGAGAAGCTGCCCCCTTTAGACCACAGCCCCCTAGATTCCCAGTATCCCTCCTGCATGGTCCCCACAGCCCAGTAGGCACCAAAGACCACAAACGGGGTCCCCTCTCAGAAAGCTGAGGTCCAGATCCAAAGAAACCCTACATGCATCTAGCTTATAAACTGTGAAGTGCGGACCCGGGGGGAGGGCTCATAAACTGTGAAGTGCGGACCCGGGGGAGGGGCCATGGGGAACTCCTTCATGCCTCTCCACCTTCCCAACCACAGATCTGGTTCCAGAATCAGCGAGCCAAGTGGCGGAAGCAGGAGAAGACCGGCAGCCTGGGCGCCCTGCAGCAGCTGGGTGAGGCCGACGTGGCCCTGCCCGTGAACCTGGACGTGGCTGTGAGTGCCCTGGTCATCAGGGCGGGGTGGAGGGACCACCACCTGGGGACATCCCAGCCAGCCCCAGGTGTGAGGAAGCCCCCGGGGCTGTGTGAAATAGCACAGGCAAGGAGGCTTCTGGAAGACCAGCCTGGGCGAGTGGCTGGCCTCTCCTCGTCCTCATCCCTGAATGGTGATCACTTCTCCTTCCTCCAGGGGGTGGACGGTGGGACTTGCACGAAATTTCACAGCTGCATATGTTCTGGGCATGCACCAGGCGCTCAYCTCGGCAGTAGAGCAGTGAACACAGCAGACAGCCTGCCCTGCCCCAGGGACACAGGTGTCTACAGCCACCCCGAGGCTCCGGGTGGAACTTTTTCATGCCCTTATTTCTTTTGCTGCTGCAGAGACCAGGATCCGACTCATGATTCTAAGTGGCAGAGTTAGGACTGTCCCCTAACCCAGGGTCATGCCCTCCTTACAGGGACCAGGTCCACACAGGACTCTCACTGCTGAGCCAGGAAGTCCCAGGCCCCGGGGAAGCTGGGAGGTGCAGGGACAGCCCGGGGTTAACTCGCCTCTGTCCCCGACCTCTCCTCTCACAGGGCTCCGTGCTGACACCCTCTGCTCTGCCCGGGCTGGCTCCCCCCACAGGCTGCTACCCACCTGCTCAACGTCAGCTGCCCTCTGCCTGGGTCCCCGCCCACATGGCCCTCCTCCCGCAGCACCCATGGGAGATGCCACCCTTCCAGGGCCCTCTGCTCCCCCAGACCTGCCTCCCCGCCCTCGGCCTCCTTCCACCTCCGCACCCCAGCTGGGGCGGCATCTGTGCCACTTCAACCTAGGAACCAGAAACCCTCTTTCTCTGGTGACAGCAGGCGGCAGAGGGTGCCCTGGGTCTCAGGGAAGAGCATCTGTTCAGCTGTCCTGACCTGCCATCGGAAGGGGGCACAGGCCTCCGCAGCAGGGTGGACAGACAGCAGAGGACCACACTCGTCTCTCCAGCCCAAGTTGCTCTCCTGGTGCAGAAAACAAGCTGAACGGGAATGCGTAGGGGGTCCTCTGGCACCTGAGCTTCCTTGAACTTGCTGTGCCACCTCCAGAAGGTCACTTGCCCTCTCTGGACCTCATCTGTGACATAAAGCAGTTGGACAAGATGACTTCTGGACACACTTCTCTCCCTTCCTTTGATGAGGCGAGCCACAGTGAGCACCAAGGCAGGGAGGAGGCCGCAGAAGTGTCGTTCCTTGTGGACTCATTCAACACGCGTCTGTCGGGCACCCCCTGGGCACCGCGAACACGGAACTGGACGCGGAGATGAACAACAGGGGCCCTGCCCTGGTGGGTGGAAGGCTGGTGCAGACCCTCCCCTGCGAGGGAAGTGGACACGTGCCCAGCTCCTTGTTGACGGCCTTGATGTGAACACTCCAGAGTGGGACAGAAATAGAACTTTTTTCTAATTTAATACAGAATTTGGTGTCGTGGGTTATTCTTCGGGGTTGGGAAGGGCGGTCGGCCTGACCGGTGTAAATGGGGGTGAGACAGTAAGCTCTAGGGGCCCGGGGCCCAGGGCAGACCACCCCCTGTGTCCTGGAGAGTCTGAGATGTCATCCACCTCTGTCCCCATGGAGGGAGTCCCCGGGGCAGAGCACAGCCCTGCCTGAGCCTCCTGTTGGCCGTCGGTAGATGGACGCAGAAACTCCCACCGGCCCAGAGTCACTCAGAGGCTCCAAGAGGAGGCCAGCGTGCATAGCAGAGGGCAGAGGCTGAGCCCACGTGGAGGCAGGTCCTTGTCCCCACCCTCTCGGGTTCCGTCCCCTGAGCCGCGGTTTCCTCGTCTGTAAGGTGGTCACTGTGCCAGCCCTGCCCTCAGGCACAGGACGGGACAGGACTGCGGCTCACAGGGTGTGACTGTCCTGGTCAACGGGAAAGTGCCCGACATCAGAGCCTGGGCACCGTGAGCCACTCCTGCTGTCCAGCAGCCCTGGCTGAGTCGGAAGGCCGGGGCCAGAGGGGGAAGGGCCAGGTCACCCACAAAAGTGGCAGCAGGGGACAGGTTGGCAGCGCCCCCCTGGGCCTCAGACACCAGGTGTCCTAACTCTGCCACTCCGATCGTGTGGCTGCCGCGGACCCGCTTTCCCAGTTGTGTCAGGAGGTTTATTCTAGCAGCTTCCAGGTCKCGGATCCCTCAGGTGCTCAGGTTTCAACACGACCCCCACGTCCTGCAGGGGTCTTCGCGGGGCRGAGGCGGGAGCCGGAGGTGTTCTCGCCAGTGTCACCACATTCCTGCCCACCTCCTGGCCTCTGCCTTGCTCAGGCCCCGGGCCAGGCATCTGGTCCTGCTCACTCTGGGGCTCCCTCTGAGTGGGGCGGGGGGAGCACAAGCCCCCCCACAACCCTGGGTCCTCATCCTCTTTCCCTGTCACACACCCTTCCCCTCCCCCAGCCTCTTCTGGAAACAGGGTTCACCCAACCCTAAGGGGTTCAGGTGACCAGACGTGGCAGCTTCACTACGGAGAGGGGCATTGACTCTGTGGTACCACTTCCTCCTCCCTAAGGGCTTCACTCCCTTTCCCTCCTGTCTGCGGGACCAAGGAGAATTCCTGCCACTGCTGCCAGCTGGGTGACCTTGGGCAAGTGACACGCCCCCTCTGTGCACCAGTCCCCTGGGTAGAGTTTTTTGCCTCTTGGGATCACTGTGACAATTGAGTTCATCTATTTAGTGCGTGGCAAGCGCTTGGCACCTGTTAAGAAGACAGTGGTCCCCTCCGGCAGCCCCTGCCTCTTCCTACGTGTGAGCAGCCGCTCTGACCCCGCGCGCGCTCCAGGAGCTCGCCGTCTAGTTCCAGAGAAGCCAGGACTCGCCAGGCGGTGTGCAAAGTGGTGAGCTCCCTTTTCCCAGGGAAAGGCCCGTGGCTTTCATGATTCTGTGAAGAGCGCTCAGGCTTAAAATGGATCACCCAAGGAGCCCGACGGGCACCCGAGTCCCGTTCCGCTGGGTTCCCAGTCTGGCCCCGAGGACTGGAGATGCAGAGAAGTTCCAGGACGACTTCTTTAAAAGGCGGCTTCTCATAAATATCACCCTGGTTCCAATACGCCCCCAGAATGTGAGTGTTAGAAACATCGTGGCCATCGTAATGCCACCAAGAGGTGGGACCTGTAAGGTCTGCGCCCCGATGGAATCGTGCGTCACTCTGGGAGGGGTTCCTTCCAGAAGGATGGGCCCAGCCCCCTCCTCTGTCCCTCTCGGCATCTTCCCCTTGGTCCCGTCACCATGACACCGAAGGCCCCTCCAGATGCCAGCCCCTGCACCTGGGATCCCCCAGCCCCAAGAATCAGGGCCACGACGTCTCTTTTCCTTACAGACCACCCGGTTAGGATGCTCTGCTGGGGCAGCGGGAGGTGGGCGAAGAAAAGCACAACACGGACAAGTGTCGACATATGCTCAACTCACCCGTCCGCGGAGGGTCCGCCAAGCTGTTCTAAGGAGTGCCAGGGGCTGGGGTGAGGCTCAGCGGCAGAGCGCTSGCCTAGACGGGCGGGGCCCTGGGTTGGACCCTCAGCAGCACATAAAAATGAATAAATCAATAAAGATAGGTGTCCAGCGGCAACTAAAAAAAAAAACATTAAAAAAGAAGAAGTTCCAAGGACAGATGCGCCCGGGACCGTCAAGATCACGGAGGGGACAGCAAATACGGACAAAAGGAGTCACCTGCCATGGGAAGTGACCGATGGCATCTCCACTGGACGTGACTCATTTGCATTCTATCAGTTTTCAGTAACTTGAGTTGAAAAATAGCTCAAAAACAATGAAAGAGGCAGACGTCCTGCTAGGGTGGCCCGACGGAACCGCCGTCATTTCTATGTGCCCCTTTCAACATCTTTTGCAATTTTCCYCACACAGAGTCACTTTCACTCTCTGGATCCGACTCTCCCACCCATTAAATAGGGATAAAAGAGCCTCTGCCAAGGTTTTTTTTGTTTTGTTTTGTTTTGTTTTACCTGTAAAGCCCTTGATGGAGCTGGGTGCTGTGGCACACACCTGTAAACCCAGTGACTCGGGAGGCTGAGGCAGGAGGATGGCAACATCAAGGCTAGCCTCAGCAACTAAGTGAGGCCCCTTCTCACACACACAAAAAAAGAAACAGATGAGGCTGTATGTAGCTCAGTGGTAGAACCCACCAGTGTCCAATCCCCAGTATCAAAAAACAAGCAAAAAACACTGTGGATGTAAGACATAATTATTTGTTGTTTTTCAAATTCCTCTAGAACTCCAGGTAAAAAGTCCCTATCTGCAAAACGTTTAGAAATATAGTAAGAGATTCGCAGGACTCGGGTACAAATGGACACCAAACATGGGAAATATTCTCAACCTCAACCACAACCAGTCAAATCGCCGTAACCAAGACATCGGTGGATCTTTCAGATTGGCAAATCCATGGGCGAGGGTCTGGTGAGACAGGCGGCCTCAGACCTGGGGAGTGGAGTGAATCGTCTCAGAGGGCAAGCTGGCACCGACTGTTAATAATCTAATGCAACTCCTTGGCCCCGTGATTCTATTTACAAGAGGACATGCATCACCGAGTGTTTGAATGACCATGAATTACCACACTGTCGGTCTRGTAAGTGTGCTGTTGATGTCCCTCCAAGTTCTAGTTTGAATATTCCTCAAGAAAGTTATCTGCTGTGGATATTTTATTCTGAACGGTGTGACCGTGTGGATTGGACGGTGGGGGAATGTACTCAGAACGGCAGCCTTTGTCTCCCCGTGTTGGCACCTACCCAGTCTCCCTCCATTTGAGTGCTTACCTCCTCACTTAAACTTAAGTGACTTTCTAATTCAGAAGCTGCACTCTTTCTGAGCATCACAAAAGTCAAGCTGATGTGACAACAGTTTGCAATTCAAAAAAAAAAAAAGAATCAGCTTCATCACTTGGAAGAGAATTGTGTTGTTTTCATGAAGTTGTGCGTGGGTTTTCCTCCGTCACGTCACTTCCCCTTCTGTATAATGGGATGAAGTGGTCAGTTCACTTCCTTCGCCTGATGCCCTTACATGGGATTTCACTCTGGCCCAGGCTGGGGCTGCTCCTTCCTGGGAACGGCGGGAGATCGGTGAGACACCTGCTGTGGTACCCAGGGTTAATCAGAAAAAGCTGTTTACTCAAAAATATTAAATGCGCAMACACAGGCACGCAGGGCCACCGTTTTGGCCAATGGTGGGCCACGTGGGCCACGTGGGTCACGTGGTCCTGACAGTGATGGCCCTCATGCCACGTAGCTACTCTGTGGMGGTGCCCTCTGATGCTGGTAGGACAAAGCCTCAGGACACGGTTCTTAGAGAGCATCCCGTCCTTCAACAAGGCACCCCTGTTGGTAAATACTGGGCATGACCATGTCCACCGAGGCTGGGTGGTCGCCAAAGCCAGAATCGCTAAGAGGAGACTGGCTGAGCCTCTTGGAGGAAATCCATCCAGCGGCTGAGTATTTATCCCCAAGAACTAGAGTCAGCAAACCCGGGGTCACAGCAGTGCCATCACGGCAGCCACGTGGTGACCCGCCCAGGTCYCCGTCCACAGATGAATAAAGAAAATGTGGTCTATATGCACAGCGGAGTTCCACCCAGCCACAAAGAAGAGTGACATTGTGGCATTTGCTGGTGAGTGGGTGGACCCGGGGGAGATCACACAGAGCCAGACTCAGAAAACCAAGGGTCAAATGTTTTCTTTCAGGAGCAGAAACTAGAGCAGAATAAGAGGAAGAAGGCAGGAGGGGGGAGAACCACGAAAATGGGAAGGAGGTGAGGGGACAGAGGAAGGGGGTCGAGGGACTKGGGGGGGGACGGTGG